GGGGGGGGGGGATAGGTCTACATTTGCTCTACTAGGTGGAACCTCGAACTTGAGCAAGGCAGATCGAGTTCAGAATTTACTGTGCAATGACAAGTTCAGAAGAGTTTGAAAAGAAAAAATATATTTAATTATTCTGTTTGTAGTGTAGATGCAATGCAAGCCATTTCGCCAGCCTTGGTGTTATTCTTTTAGGAGTTTTCATTTCGTTTTGTTTTGTTTTGCTTTTGTGGAGGGGGAGTGGGAGATGGGTTTTTGGGGGGTGTGGTTGGTCTGTTGGGTTTGTTGTGTTGTTTTTTACGCTTTGGAGTCGCTGTTATTTTTTCAAAGTTTAAGAATACATGGGCGGAAACCTCACATGGTTGTCATTTGAAGTTATTGAGATTCCAGAAGCAGAAGCAGCAACAGTGTTCACATAATTAGCAGTGTCGATAGCTGCAGGAACACTAGCTGTAGTGTAAACTCATCGCTACCTCAGAAATACGAAGTTCTATCTGACATGTTCGGATGTTTTGAGTTACTAAGACCACGAAGTCAGAAACCAGATATTCTCTCTGTCCTATTAAAATCGTAATATTATTGGAGTCGTTATCAAGATATTAAAAGAATTGTTTTCGAAAAAAACTCGACAGGTTGTGAAACTTAAGTTGTTGTTTTTTTAAACTAAAATTTGTCAAAACTAGGATCTGAGCTGCTACAACTTCGTAATTCTGGGGAAGCGACACAGCACAACACTTCTTTCAACGCGGTACTGGTCTTTGTGGGGGGCCCATTGCGGTGCCCATTGGGGTGGGATCGGGTCGGGGTCGCCTGAAAACGAACGCGTTTGATTTTGAGGCTACGAGTTGGGCGCGATTGGCTTGTGCAGCGATAGCCGCTTTGCGCCCTCAATCTGAGTAGTCCTGGCCCGACCCGATCTCCCAACGGGCATCCCGTTGTCATCCGCCTTGTAATCTAGAAAAATACAAACTGAGCTGTGGGTTTATGGTCTACCCAAATCATGTAAAATATCTCAGAACATAGTACGTAGGCGCGTCCCGGTGTAACAGATTAATACTCTACTTTATAGGGACCTTGACCGTTTACCAAAGTAGGAAATCTGGTCAGGCTCACTTAAGAATCGATCAGAAAAGCATTTTTCGATGCAAACATTTAGAAATTTGAGGCTCGATTCCTGGCCCCGTCGGATAGGCCGTTGTACACTTAGAAGGGTATTTTAGTATGTTTCCCTTTGTTGCAAATAAGCAATTGGCATTCAGCAGAGGTGGTATATGTGAGTCGGTGGTGGTATATGCCTTACAGGCTACAACACTTTATGTTCCGTTTGCGGTGAGGCTGTTATAGTAATTTTGGAATAAACAAACCGGACACTGGAGTTATTGTTAAGTTGTGTAAGCCTTCGAGGAATTTCAAGGCTCCAAAGAACGAAACATTTCTACTTCATCTTACAATGAAGGTACTCGTATTTGCTATATATATATCACTACTCACGCTAAAAAATGGCTGGGTTGGTTCGATCTCTTATCGAAGTTTGGCTTTTAAGTTAGATCCTTATATTCTGTGTAGTACCCTACCACAGAACGAATTATTATATATTAATTCCCTATTGTCTCTTTTGCGGAACAACATATATTACAAGTACAAGGTCAAGTAGTATGTATGCTTCCCGGGAAGCTGAGAATGTTTCGGAGTGTTCTATGGTCTGCTGGGGTAATAATATAGTGTAAAGCGCATAGAGCCTGCTGTTGAGCGGGGATATGCGCTATACAAATGCTATCTATTATTATTATTATTAAGTCTCACTTAAACAGCCCTCGGTGTGTGAGGATTTAAGATAGGTGTTTTTACACCTCCATCGACACAACTTAGACAATTTAGGAGGCGGGTACCCAACCCTGTCTGTCATTGCCAACACGGGCTAAGACTAAAGAGGGATACGATGTCCCAGCAGAAAGACCAATAAGATACTC